ACAACTCATAATTCTTAATGTGATTCATTTCATCATGCAATATGAGAAATTAAAAGAGTGATGTAATTAATTCAACAATTTATGTACTTATAATTGTTTATTATCCCTTCTTTTTTTTATTTTATAATTTTGAAGCTTATAAATAGGATTGATTATGCATCGGCTTGTGTATAATTATTTTGTAGAGATTGAGAGAATTGTTAAGTAAGATTGAAATGCATCGTCTTAGAGATTTTAAAAAATGTTTTCAACAAGAGGAGCCCAATATGAAGATTAATAAGTACAAGAAATATTTTATTATTTTTTCTTCACTAGAATTTTTTTTCATTAGGTTTTTTTCTAGTAAGGTTTTAACGAACATGTTTTTTGTACAATAATCATTCAAGGAGGAGTGTTATGAAATAAAGAATGTCCATATGAATGTTTATATACATTTCTATCCCCACTACTTATAATTCTTAATGTGATTTAATTCACCATTGAATATGAAAAATTGAAAGGGTGATTCAACTGATTCAATAATATAAGTACTTATAATTGTTCATTGGCCCTTTTTAATTTTCTTTTTTAACTTTAAAGCCTATAAATAGGATTAATTGTTCATCGGTTTGTATATAATTATTTTGTAGAGATTGAGAGAATTGTTCGGAGTTGTTATCGCTTGTATTCTTTTTATTTCATAGTGAAATCGTTTTTTTGTCATCTTTTCTTCTATCATTGTTACCATTATTGTAACAATCTTTTGCAATTATTATTATTTTTTCAACATATTTATTTATTTATTTATTTATTTATTTTGAAAGTGGATACATAAATAGACAATCATAAATCTATGAAAAATATTTTATTTTTTTACATTACACACATTTAATAACATTACTTACATTTAGTTCATAATCCGAATTTGAATTATTTTGAGAGTGAAATGAATAAATTTAAATTTAAATCAGAACTTAAATCATTTTTACAAATAAAACGAATAGAATGAAAATATATTATTTTATTGAAAACTAGTAATCATATTTTTGAAATTTAGAACAAATGAATATCTATATACCACTTAAACCAAAAGTCGAATAAATTATAAATTAGTTCTCTTCGTTTGAGAAAATGAATTAATTATTTTTTTGTACATGACCAACAACAAAATTTTTGTGATTACTATGGTTAGGGCTACGCTTTTCAGCTTTGGCATCTCAAAATAAACTATAAGGTGTCGTTTGGTTATTAGGAATGAAATATCCGAAATGAAAATACGAAATCAGAATGACATTTGTATTTTCATATTGTGTTTAGAATACTAATGAGGAATCGAAATACAATTTAAATTTTTTAATATTTAATTTTTGATACAAATAAAAATAATGATTAAAAAATAATTTTATCAAACAATAATGATTGTAAAGGTGATGCTCGGTAGTTATGGCGGCGGTGGTTCTAGTGATGGTAGTGGGGGTGGTGATGGTAGTAGTTACGGTGATTGCGGTAGTGATGCTAGTTGCGAGTGGTGGTGGTGGTGGTGATCGTGGTGGTTGTGACGATAGTTGTGATGGTTGTAATGGTGGTAGTAAAAGTAGTTAATAGATAATAAATAAATAAAATATATTATTATTTTGAAAAAAAATTTCATTCTCATTCCTTATTTTTATTTCCACATTTTCTATGGGAATAAAGTTAATGTAAATTTTCATTCTCATTCATATTTCATTCCTTTTAACCAAATAGCTACAACATGAGAATAAAACTTTCTTTGTCATTCTCATCATTCTATTCCTATTATCAAATAGCACCTAAGTGTTATGGCTATTAATTTGAAATGTCATGGGAAATTGTTAGAATCAAGTAAAATGTGCGAGTTAATATAATAACAAAAGTTTTGTACGAGAGATTGAAAGAGGCTATAAGGAGAAAAAATATTTTTTCAAAAAAAGAAACTTGAATTGGAGATAAGCGGATTTGAACCACGACATCGGTCATGAGATAAAACACTATCTTTTGATCTTTTAATTAATTCTCTCATACGGAATGACAATAGACAATAACTCTATTTCAAATGTAACTTGCAACTATCTTTTGATCTTTTAATTAATTCTCTCATAAAGAACGACAATAGACAATAACTCTATTTCAAACGTAACTTCCAACTTTTATTGAATTGTGTTCTCTAAAGACACACACACACACACACACACACACACATATAAAAGATCTGGATCGTTATATGTTGTTTAAAATGTTAGGGGTTCATTTTATGGATTTTCCATGATCCTATTATCTCTAATTCGAGTATTGTTGTATCGTAAATGATCTAAACTATCAAGAGGTATGTATCTAATTGATCTTTTATTTTAAATCTAATGGTATACATTTAAAAAATTTGAATAATCTAATATATATTCTAATAAACTAATGTATGTTGTTTGAAAAAATTGAATTGTATTATTATATTTGCTTTTATTTTCTTACATTAACACAAGAAAAACTTCATATACATTTAATGGATGTGATCATAGCCTATTTATATGGTTCATTTGCTAATGATATCTATATGAAAGTTTCGAAGGACTTAAAATGATTGAAGCATGTAAAATACATTCCTAAGAGATGTATTCAATTAAATTACAAAGGTCTTTATATGGATTAAAACAATGCAGGTACATGTGATATAATCGTCTTAGTGAGTATTTTTTGAAAAAAAGGTTATAAAAATGACTCTATTTGTCCATGTGTCTTTACAAAGAAATCTGAAAAAGGGTTTATGTTAATTGTTGTTTATGTTGATGATTTAAATATAATTAGAACTCTTGAAGAGATTCTAAGTGCCATAAGTTATTTAAAAAAATAAGTTAACATGAAAGACATTGCAAAGTTAAAATTTTGTCTCGGCTCGTAATTCAAACACTTAAAGGATGAAATTTTTATTCATCCATCAACATATATAGAAAAAGTATATAAATTACTCAACCAATATATATTGAAAATGGATGCATAAATAGACAAATCATAAATCTATGAAAAATATTTTATTTTTTATATTACACACATTTAATAACATTACATTACATTTAGCTCATAACCAGAATTTGAATTATTTTGACAAGTAAAATGAATAAATTTAAATTTAAATCAGAATATAAATCATTTTTACAAATAAAACGAATAGAATGAAAATATATCTTATTGAAAACTGGTAATCATATTTTCGAAATTTATAAAAAATGAATATCTATATACCACTTAAACCAAAATGTGAGTAAATTATAAATTAATTCCTTTCGTGTCAAAAAGGAATTAATTAGTTTTATTTACGTGACCAACAACCAAATTTTTGCGAGTACTATGGTGAGGGCTAACCTTTTTGGCTTTGGCGTCTCAAAATGAACTATAAGTGTTATGGCTATGAATTTGATATGTCATTGGAAGTTGAATCATGTAAAATGTATAGTTAATCTAATAACAAAAGTTTTGTACGGAAATTGAAAGAGGCTGTAAGGAGAAAATATTTAAAAAAAGAAAAGAAATTTGAATCGAGATAAGCGGATTTAAACCTGACATCTGTCATGAGATAAAACACTATCCTTCGAACTTTTAATTAATTCTATCATAGACAACAGACAGTAACTCTATTCCGAAGACAATTGGATCGTTATATGTGGTTTAAAATGTTAAGGGTTCATTTTGTCGATTTTCCATAATCCTATTATGTCCAATTCAAGTTTTCATTTTCTAGTTTCTACATTTTTATTTTTTTTTTCAAATTTTAGTACTTATTTTATTTTTTAAAAAATAAATTTCAATAAATATAAGTGTGATTTTTTTTTTCAATATCTCGATTAATCATGAATATGTTAATATTTTTAAAACTTAGATGACGGAAGAAACTCAAATAAAGAAGATAAAATAAAAAATTAAACATTCAAAGAAATAAAATAAAAATTAACTACTCAAATTAAATAAATTTTAAAATCTAAACATTCAAATTGAAATTTTCTCATTTTTAGGTAGATAAGGATAAAGATGAAGGGAACAACAGGTGGATGAAGGCAAAGGCAAGCAGTGTTTTGTCATTGCATGGGCTACAATCGCTGGTCTACCACCTTATTGGCACCTGAAAATACGAACTAGGCTCTCAAAAAGGTTGTTGTTGTGGGCTGGGCCGATGTATGTGGTTTAAAATGTTAGGCTCTGGATTTCGATATAAAATTGGGCCTTGCATAACCCATTTGATTACAAATAAATAATAATAATTTAACCGCAGAGGGTTTGACGAGGTTTTTTAGCAATTAAACCTGCCACATTAGAAGTTTGAACATCCATCGTCAAAACATGTTCTTACCACCCACTTAAAAAAATAAAAAAATAAAAATCTCAATTTAACTCTTAATATATTGCCTCATTATCAATCGAGTTCCAAATCTTTTGATTTTATTAATTTTATCCAAATATAATAAACATTGACTAACGTCATTGCTTAATCTATTTACTATTATTAATAATTAAATATTTCATCTAATTTACACGTGCTCATTATGTGTTTTCATTCAAGACGCTACAATAATTCTGATATGCTCTAAAAGACAATTTTTTAACTTTAAATCAAAATATTTTTTTTTCTTTTTTCTCTCCACTTGATTGACTCGTATAAAAAAATTTTTTTTTACTATAATTTTTTAAGTTAAAATTATTCATTATGATATATTAGAGTTTATTTTGATATATATATATATATATATTTTGTGTGGAAAATCTTAATGAGAACTTGTGATTGAACATAATATTTACCCATCACTTATAGCAAATAGATTGAGAAGTGATATAATCAAATATCTAATATATTTGGGATAAAATTGATAAAATAAAAATACTAGGAACTTAATTGATAATGTGGTAATACATTAGAAACTAGATTGAGTTTTTCCCATGAAAGAACACTGCTTTTTCAGCCTGACTTGGTGACAGGAGCACACAAAAAGAAAAGAAAAAAACAAAGAAAAAATCAAATGGCACCCGTGAATGACCAGGATATTCAAAATTTGTAAAAAATGGAACACCAATTGGCCGGAAACAACAGTCCATCTCATTTCTCAATTCTCCATTGTCTTAAAAGTCAAAGTCTTCTCCTTTAACCTGATGGCCCTCTCTCTCCATACATTCAGCAATCCTATAAAAAAAAATCTTCAGAACAGCAAACAAAGACTAAAGCACAAGAAGATGAAACCCCAAATTCTTCTCTTTTATCTGTTTCTCTTCTTCACCATCACAACAGCACAAACAACAATCCAACCAGGCTCAACCCTTTCAGCTTCAAACCCAAACCGAAACTTGGTCATCCCCAAGCAACACTTTCTACGTAGGATTTTCTCAACTGGGTTCCTCTTCTTCTTACACCTTAACCATCAACTACGATGGTGGTGTCTCAATTTGGACAGCAGGCAACGCCACCACCACAGTTGACTCAAAGGGATCCTTCCAATTCCTGTCCTCCGGCAACCTCCGCCTCCTCAACGGCTCCGGTTCCATTGTGTGGGACTCCAACACTTCCAGCCTTGGTGTCAAAACTGCTTCGCTTGATGATTTTGGTAATTTAGCGTTAAATAATGGAACTTTATCTGTTTGGTCATCTTTTGATAACCCCACTGATACTATAGTACCTAATCAGACTCTTAGTGTTGGTCAAGTTTTAAGATCTGGGTCTTATTCTTTTAGGTTCCTTAGTTCAGGAAATCTCACTTTGAGATGGAATGATACTATAGTGTATTGGAATCAAGGGAATGCTTCTATTAATGCTAATATGACTTCACCTACTCTGGGGTTGCAACCAACTGGGATTTTGTCAATTTTTGATGCTGCTTTTACAAGTGGGCCGCATACTGTGGCTTATAGTAACGATTATGGTGATGTGGGTACAAGGTGGAGGTTTCTGAGGTTAGATAAAGATGGGAACTTTAGGATGTATAGTACTGATATAAGTAGTAAAACTACAAATATGGTATGGTCAGCTTTGACTGATCAATGTGAGGTTTTTGGTTATTGTGGGAATATGGGGGTTTGTAGCTATAATGAGTCGAGTTTGAGTTCGATTCCAATTTGTGGTTGTCCATCTGAGAATTTTGAGCCTGTTGATGTGAATGATAGGAGAAAAGGGTGTAAAAGAAAAGTTGAGATTGAGAGTTGTCCGGGGAATGCTACCATGTTGGAGATAGATAATACAAAATTCTTGACATATGAGCCTGAGTTGTCTCAGGTTTTGTACATGGGAATATCAGCTTGTCGGTCGAATTGTCTTTCTTCTTCAGGTTCAGGTTCAGCTTGTATTGCTTCTACATCTTTGTCTGATGGAACTGGGCAGTGCTACTTAAAACCTCCGGGCTTTATCAGTGGTTATCAGAATCCAGCACTTCCCAGTACTTCGTATGTGAAAGTTTGTGCGCCAGCACAACCAAACCCTCCACCTGGTGTGCCGATTGTGGGGAAAAACAAAAGTTGGAGATTGCACGCCTGGATTGTTTTTGTTGTTGTTGCTATTACCCTTTTAGGTTTGGTTGCTGTGGAGGGTGGTCTGTGGTGGTGGTGTTGTAGAAACAGTCCCAAGTTTGGCAGTTTGTCAGCTCAATATGCTCTACTGGAGTATGCATCTGGAGCTCCAGTGCAGTTCTCATATAAAGAACTGCAGCACTCGACAAAAGAGTTTAAAGAGAAGCTTGGAGCAGGAGGGTTTGGAGCTGTTTATAAAGGGGTTCTTGCTAATAGAACAGTTGTTGCAGTGAAGCAGCTCGAGGGAATTGAGCAGGGTGAGAAACAGTTCAGGATGGAGGTTGCAACTATTAGTAGCACTCACCATTTGAATTTGGTCAGATTGATTGGTTTTTGCTCCGAGGGTCGTCATAGGCTGTTGGTTTATGAGTTTATGAAAAATGGGTCTCTTGATAATTTCCTTTTCACTGCAGAAGAGCAGTCGGGGAGATTGTTGAATTGGGAGCAGAGGTATAACATTGCCCTTGGAACTGCAAGAGGAATCACTTATCTTCACGAGGAATGTCGAGACTGCATTGTCCACTGTGACATAAAGCCTGAAAACATTCTCTTGGATGAGAACTGCAATGCCAAGGTGTCTGATTTTGGTCTTGCAAAGCTGGTAAATCCCAAGGATCACAGATATAGGACACTGACCAGTGTTAGAGGGACAAGAGGATATTTGGCACCAGAATGGCTTGCAAATCTTCCAATTACTTCCAAATCTGATATCTACAGTTACGGGATGGTTTTGTTGGAGATAGTGAGTGGCAGAAGGAATTTTGAAGTCTCAGCAGAAACAAACCGAAAAAAGTTTTCTGTTTGGGCTTATGAAGAGTTTGAGAAGGGTAATGTTAATGCAATTTTGGACCGAAGGCTTAGAGACCAAGATGTGGAGATGGAGCAAGTGACAAGGGCAATTCAGGTGAGCTTTTGGTGCATCCAGGAGCAACCATCTCAGAGGCCGATGATGGGAAAAGTGGTGCAGATGCTGGAGGGAATAGCTGGGATTGAGAGACCACCAGCACCGAAGGCAATAACAGAAGGTTCTATGAGTGGAACAAGCATAATTAGCAGCAATGTCAGTGCTCTCTCAACTTTTGCAACTTCAGCTCCCGCTCCCTCTTCTTCCTCATCGTATCAGAATATGGGAGTTTCACCCTTAGCTTCAGGGAGAAATATAGAGAGGGCTTCTTCATCACTGTTATATTCAGACCCAAACTGAAGTTCATCATCTCACATACCATTTGCCCACAATACCTAGGAACTCGAAGGAAGGTAACATTTGTGATGAGATACTATTCATTATATTGATACGACAATGAAATCATGTAAAAGTTATTTTCAACTGTACAAGATAGATATATAAAAAATGGCCTTTTGCCCTCATAGATTAGATGTTTATACAAGCCAGTTCATTAAAAAAAGATGTAATTATAAATTTTCACCATTATTGTTTGCTGAAATTATATGATCAGGTTCCAATCAAAACTTCCTGGGAATGGATTTCTTTGTCCAGCAATTTTTGTCAGAAGTCTTGGTCATTTGCCTCATTATCCAAGTTTCCTGTCATAATTTAAATATTGCCTTGTGCCAGATGACACCCCATTCCATGATTGAGGATAGATGTTAGACACACAAGATATATACAAGGATTTGCTAGTTTTATAATGTCCCAAGACATGCGTAGGTATTAAAATAAAAAAATTCAAGTACGCCAAGTTATTCTTAAAAAGTGCTAATTTAATGCATTACTCTTTGTAAGGTTGACTCTTGCCAAATTGCAACAAAGCAACTGAATGGGGCTTGTATTGTTTGGTAAACTATCCTTTTCCAACAGTTAAAGCCAAAGCCACACACTAAGCACCAAATAATCTCAATATTTCCTCCATGGCCTTTTTCTTTTGTTGATGAATTCATCCATGAAAATAGTCAAAACCTCCCAGCTTCTTGTTCTGCAAGTCTTCCATTATATATATAACCCGATGGATAACCATTTATTTTAGGTCTGTTCTTTTTGTATGTATGAACATTATATATGTCACATGCCTGGGTTCTTCGTCAAGAATCAACAACGACCATTTCAAAGAAACCAAAATGGAGTTAAGAATGTGAACTCAAGCAAACTCCAGATGTGTGGAAGGAAGATTGGAACTACCATTGTTAAAGAATTCAGCCACTACCTAACCATGATTTTCTCTGCCTACTTTAAGGTCCAGTGAACCGAATATTGTATTTATGCTTTCGCATTTTCCTTCCCTTCTTGCCTCGACCGGAAAACTACTGGACTTCACCCTGTAGTATATATAAATGGGCTGGGTAAAGCCTTCAGTTCTTGGTGACTCATGAACAGAAACGGCCCATTCTATCCATGAGCCCCAAGGCTTAAATATTTCTGTAATCATATATATATATATATATATATATATATAGCAATTGTTATTTTGAACTTGAGACTTTATCCATCTTGCTTTATTAGAGTACAGACTGCAGAGTAATAGTTGAGCTATAAATCTATTGATCATTTCTGTAATCATATTTGAAGAACATAAATCATTAAACTTGTAACTGGCTTCTGCAGAACTAGCAAAAAGAAAAGAAAAGAAAAAATATTGAGATAAATTTGTCTACTTTCCTTACGAATATGTGGTTGGATCATAAGTTATGACAATGTACTGACAGGAATCCCTGTTGGTCCTCCTGTGTTTTCTAGTCGCTATCTATTCTCAATTCCTTGTACAATTACTATATAGCACCAGGTACCAAGGAACTTGTTCTTTTAGAGACATCCTTTGCAATACCAGAAAGAACAACATAATACATAATTTTGGCCCCTGTAATAACTGATGGGCTCAAGGGCTTTGCCATTGGTCATTACACATCTATGAATTCAGATTCTCTATTTCGTACGAATTAGAATGTAAGCATATAATAACTTATTTGTATCACATTACCACCATTGTTAGGTCATGCCATTGAAAATGAAAGGCATTAATATTGTGCTTTTGTACTTAATTTGGATCTATGCCATTGTCTTAAGCTCTTATGGAAGACATTGAAAGCATAAAAGACTAGTGCCAAGTGCTTCGAAAAGAAGTGGAACCGCTGTGCCACTGTACTAAAAGCTTTCCTTAGCTGAAAAAAAGCTGTTTCGTTTTGCACGATAATGATGCCTTTGTTGTCAACAAGTGTTGCAAATTATATGGATGATATAGCTAGGTTGCTTGCTAGCTTTTAACTTTAAAGCCAATGGTTTAATCTTTTTTTTAGTACGAGGGCATATAAAATAATACTAGTAGTTAGTCTCTCAGACTAAGAAACCCATAACAATTAAATATACTTATATATTTTTGTATAATATTTAAATTCTTTCGTCTGTTTTTAGATTTTTAATTATATCACATCTATTCTTAAAAAAATTTAAAATATTCAATCTATTTTTTCGACAATGAATAAATTTTTTAACTAAAATACCTTTTACTAAAATGTGAATTTTTTTTTTAAAAAAAACACTTAAAGTCACATTGCAGTATTTTTCACTTTTTCAATCTTTATTTTATTTATTTTTTTGTTGCATTTTTATTAGGAATAATTTTGTCCAAAAAAGTTATATAATCGAAAAAATTAATTAAAATGACAGATTAAATATTTCAGATATTTTTAATAACAAATGAAATGAAATTAAAAATCTAGAGACAGATGAGGGACTTTTAGTATTATATAATGATATATGGATATATTTACTCATAAAATAATTCCAACTCTATGGCCGAGGATCATAAATTGATAATCTTTTTTATTTTATTTTCAGAATTTTGATTTTAGTTTAATGTCACCATAGCAAATATATAAAAAAAGTGACATCAATTTGTATCTCATGAAAATAAATGACGACCGTTGGAAAGTAGGTTTTAGTTCTTCGTGCAAAAGAGGATTACGTAGTTCTTAACTAAGAAGATATATATATATATATATATATATATATATATTAACCAAAATTTTGACAATGAATTTGGTAATCAAAAAAATATTGGACAATTATAAAACCACTATAAGAAGATTAAAATATATTTTTATTTCAATATTTATAAAATATATGAACTAGACCAGCGGAGCTTTCAAGTTACTAAAGACAAATCCAAAAAGAAAACGGAAAGGTTGGTTAATTTTAATTTATGAGTTGATATGACTTAACAATGTGCGGCTTAGGGACGTTGCAAATGAAAAAAATATATATATTCAAAACTGGATATAAATCCAATTGCTTTTATAAAAGTGGATATATTTGATCAAGTTGATTGATTTTTGACAGACTTTGACTGAAACCAAAAGTAACGATCCAGTCGCTTTAATTCGATCAACATGATTGTTGAAGCATTACTTCAGCTTTTTCTTAGTAAATATACTAGTGAATATTTTGCGTTTGTTTATTTTAGTTTGATAATTTATAATATATTATTAATCAATTAAAATATAAAATAATTAAATATAAAATAATTTTTAAATCTAATTTCATAATTTTTAATAAAAAATTATATTCATTTCTATATTTTTTTATAAATTTTGTAATTAAAAAAACACGATTTTTATTATTTAAAATTAATCTATTCATTTAGTCGTTTCCTAAAAAACTCTTATCAAATTAATTTATTATGTTTTATATAATTTTATTTGTTAATAAATATAATTTATTTTTCTCTATGTACGAATTTTCGAATAAGTTTTTTCATAAATAATCAATTAAAAATAAAATTAACATGTTTTATTTATTTATTTATTTTTATATAATAAAAATATATCAAAATTAATTTTATAATTATATTTATTGCAGTCTACCGACTTTAATATATTTCTTACAACTAATTGTTTTTTTAAATATATATTTTTTATTTTGCTACACATTCGACCCATTAAATATGATCATAATATATAAAAGAATTAAAATCATTGATTTTATTAAAATTTAACTATTCATTTACCCACATAATACTAACTATTTACTATTAATTTTTTAGTATTATAAATTAATTTCATAATTTTTAATCAAATATTTGTATTTAATTTATTCTTCTTTCTGTTTTTCATAAATTTTGTAGTTAAAAAACACGATTTTTTATGCATTCATTCTTAATTAATAACCTATAATATCTTAATAAAAAATTTAATATAAAATTTAAAAAATGTCTTAATATTTTTTTTCAAAAGACTTCATCGAAAAAATAAAGCAATAATTAATATGAAAAGTTAACAAATGAATATTTTTTTTATTCTTGTTTAATGTTGAGGAGATGATAAAATTTTTGAAAATATACATTTGATTTATATATATTTATTTAGAAAATCATTAATAATATTGGTATAAAAAGTTGTATTTGAACTATTAGGTGGTTCTTCTAAAATATTATTTTAATTATTTTATTGATTTTTATTTTCAATTGATTATTTATTTAAAAAAACTTATTCAAAAATCCATACATAGAGAAAAATAAATTATATTTGTTAACATTATATAAAAAATAAAAAAATAATTTGATGAGAATTTTCATGAGAAATGACAAATTAAAAAGATTAATTTTAAATAATATAAGAATAATATAATTCGATATATATGTTTATTCTAAAATTTTAAAACATAACGTATATATTTAATAATCACCAATATGCATGAAAAAAAAAACAATTAGTTCTTTTATAATTTTCACTCCAAATTCAATAATAAAAAAATAAAATATATTGCTAGAAAAAAAAAAAAAAAGCAACCATGAGTGCTTGGTCTACCTAAGGATCAAAATAGCACATAATGTTGCATTTGAGTATGAATGCTCAAAAAACTCAAAAGTCACAAAAATACTACTACATGTTAAAAATGAATAGTGCACATGAGTACGAGATAATAGAACTATAAATAGTAACTCATTCTAAATTTTTTAATTTTTAAATATATTTTTAAAAATAATTGAACTCGTAAGTTTTTTGTAAGTATAAAAATTCATTTTCAATAAACCGAAAACATATTTGTCAATTATACACATATATAATTGAAAAATATGTTTTTAGTTTATATATATTATGAATGTGATTTAAAATTACTCAATATTCAGAAATAAAAGAAACGTATATTATCCACAAAGAAAACGACCAAGGGTCCAAAGTTGGACAAAAAAGAAAGAAACACATCAAGAAAGAAGTGAGGATGACAACATGAAGTGATCAGCAAAAGTCAGA